AGGATGAGGCAGCAGGGAAGGACAACCCTCTGCTGCTGAAGCGGGCTAAAGACGCCTTGCTGCTGCTGCACGATCAGGTGCTGCTGCTGCTGCATCTGCTGCTGCTGCTGTTGCTGCTGTTGCTGTTGATGCTGCAGATCTATTTGCTGCTGCTGTTGCTACGGCTACTGTTGCTGCTGCTGCTGCTGCTGCTGCTGCTGCTGCTGCCTGACATCTCTGCTGCTCCCTTCTTCTCAGCAGCTGATTGCTGCTTCGTATGCATGCAATGAACATATCTGCTTCTCTCTTTCTGCTGCTGCTGCTGTTGCTGCTGCTGCTGCTGCTGCTGCTGCTGCTGCAGGTGCGTGTGCAGCTGCAGCAGCACGAGCCTGAGCTGCGTGTGGTGTGTCGTTCTCTGGGCCGCCTGGCGCTGCAGTGTATAGGCAGCTTAGTCCGCGTGAACTTTGCTGCTGCTGCGCTGCTGCTGCCGCTCTGCTCCTCCTGGGGCCTCGGGGCCTCTCTCGCCCGCGTACGCCTCGATGACCCCTTCTTGCTGCAGTGAGTCTGCTGCTGCTGCTGCTGCTGCTGCTGCTGCTGTTGGTGGTGGTGGTGGTGGTTGTGGCGGTGGTAGTGGTGGTGGTGCTGCTCCTGCTCCTATGGCTGCAGCAGCAGCTGTCTTAGACCTTTACACGCTGGCGCTGCTGCTGCTGCTGCTGCTGCTGCTGCTGGGGAGAGGCTTCGTTCATTGTGGTGTGTTGTGGATCTTGCTGCTGTTGCTGCTGCTGTTGTGTGTTGCTGCTGCTGTTGCTGCTGCTGCTGCTGCTGCATGCAGACAGCTGCAGCTACCTGCGGGGGCGACGCCTGCGCTGTATGGCCTCAACTTCATGGAGGTGAGACCTCGAGCTGTTGCTGCTGCTGCTGCTGCTGTTGCTGCTGCTGCTGCTGCTGCTGCTGCTGTTGCCACTGGTGCTAGGGGAGAGGTGCAGCAGCTGCTGATGGGGTTGTCGTTGCTGCTGCTGCTGGGTTTGAGTTTGCTGCTGCTGAGGTGTTTGTTTGCTGCTGCTGCAGGTAGCTATCCCCTTAGGCGAGGCGGCCACGACTCAGACTGGGGGCAGCAGCACAATGCAGCAGCAGCAGCAGCAGCAGCAGCAGCAACAGCAGCAGCAGCAGCAGCAGGCGGGAGCGATGACCCCCGTCGTTGTGCGGCTTGAAGACGGCGTGGCTTCGCAGCCCGAGCAACAGCAGCAGCAGCAGCAGCAGCAGCAGGGCGAGCAGCAGCAGCAAAGCCAGCAGCAGCACCCGCAGCAGCACCCCCCGCAGCAGCAGCAGCAGCAGCAGCAGCAGCTGCGGGGCTGGTTGATACCTGCTGAGCAGCGCAGCAGCAAGAAGGCGCTGATATGCATGCACGGATGGCTCTCCAACAGACAGGGCTGTCTCCCCTTCCTCGCAGCAGCCAAAGAGGTGAGAGAAATGCTGCTGCTGCTGCTGCTGCTGCTGCTGCTGCTGCTGCTGCTGCTGCTGTTGCTGCTGCTGCTGCTGAGGGGCAGGCTGCCGTTGTTACTACTGCTGGTTTTGCTGCTGTTGCAGCCTGTGCTGCTGCTACCGATTCTGCTGCTGCTGAGCTATGCAGCAGCAAGGCTGCGGCATTATGATTTGCTGTTGCTGCTGCTGCTGTTGCTGCTGCTGTTGCTGCTGCTGCTGCTTCTGCTGCAGTTGAATCTGCACAAGGACCACCACATTTTGCTGCTGGATATGCGGGGTAGCGGCGACTCTCCTGCTGTTCGCGGCGCAGCAGCAGCAGCAACAGCAGCAGCAGCAGCAGCAGCAGCAGGAGTTCCCCCCTGCAGCAGCAGCAGCAGCAGCAGCAGCAGCAGCAGCAGCAGCGGGGATTGCTTTGCTGTTGAGGCAGCAGTGTCGCAGCTAGCCACAGATGCCCGCGATGACCTCGCTGCAGCAGTTTGCTTCCTAAAAAATAATTTTGCTGCTAAACAAATTGGGGTGTATGCACAGGGGGGAGCAGCAATGGGCGTGCTGCTGCTGGTAATATATACTACAATACCTGCTGCTGCTGCTGCTGCTGCTGCTCCTGCTGCTGCTGCTCCTGCTGCTGCTGCTCTTGCTGGGGTTGCTGCTGATGATGCTTTTGCTGCTGATCAGGCTGGTTGTGCTGGTGCTGCTGGTTTCGCTGCTGCTGTCGTTTTTGCTGCTGCTGCTGCTGCTTTTTTTGCTGCTGCTGCTGTTCTTGCTGCTTCTGCTGCTGCTGCTGCTGCTGTTTTCCTTCCGTGCGTTTCTGGGCCGCATGTTGCAGTTGCTGCTGCTGCACCTCAGCTCCGCGTAATTCCGCCTCCTGCTATTGCTGTTGCTGCTGCTGCTGCTGCTGCTGCTGCTGCTGTTGCTGCTGCTGCTGCTGCTGCTGCTACTGCTGCTGTGGATTGCAGAGGGGTGAGGAGGAGTGGCTGCAGCAGCAGGGGGTGTCACTGCAGCAAGTGCTGCTGGACTCCCCCATATGCAGCGCAGCTTCTCTGCTGCAGCAGCAAGCTGCTGCTCGCCCCGTTGCTCGTTCGCTGCTGCTGCTGCTGCAGCACCTCTCGTGGGGCCTTGGCAGCAAGTAAGTGAAAACACAGCAGCAGCACCAACAGCAGCAGCAGCAGCAGCAGCAGCAGCAGCAACAGCAGCAGTAAAATTAGCGATACAAAAGTAGCTGCAGCAGAGCCAGCAGGGACCGTTTCAACAGTAGCAACCCCAGCAGCAGCAGCAGCAGCAGCAGCAGCAACAGCAGCAGCAGCAGCAGGAGAGGTTGTTTGTGTATATTTCAGGCGTGCAGCAGAGCTGCGGCGGCTGCGATCGCTGCTGTCGTTGGAGTGTATGGACAGCAGCAGCAGCGTGGTTATCCTCAGTGCAGCAGACAAGCTCAACCTGTGGCAGCTGCTGCAGCAGCAGCTGCTGCTCCTCGATGAAGACAAACGCCCACGGTCAGCCACTTGCTGCTGCTGCATCAGCAGCATCAGCAGCGTCAGCAGCAGCAGCAGCAGCAGCAAGTGTGTATTTGTGTG